ACTTATCAAATTGATTGATCAATTATGTATTTGTAGTTATCACAAATATTGTATTTTCTCTTTAAAGGGCTTGAGATAACTTGTGTTCCAAAAACTGCTCCCATCAGGCACAAGGAATTCCTGGTCTGAATATTGACCTTTACATAATCTCCCTCCACAGTAATGCAGAGAATTAATTTTAACTGACAGTAACACATGCTCCGTATAGAATAGAACGCGGTTACAAGTCTATCACACAGGATACAGAACACTGGGCACCAATATTCATCGGGTAAGACTTATTACCGCATATCTCTGCATATTTTTCAGAAGAACTTTGAGATATTATTTTTAAATCTAAATGTGTTTTGTGTATATATTGGTATTTAGTGTAGGGGGTCATGTTTAAAATATAATACTCTGGTATTATTCTTTACAAAAGTAACACGCAAATAACAACAGAGTGAGTCGAGACCATAAAGACCTGCATGACATTTTTTTTTAAAAAAGGACGGTAAAATTATTTAATGCTGACAGCTGCAAAAAAAAATTTCTATAGATGAAGCATGCCGCAAGTGTTTTCTAAAACTAGGAAATGTCCATAAACAAGAGCGCAATAGTTGAAAGTGTTTTTACTTCAATTATCCAAATAAAGGAAGAGTATACTTGTAAAACTACAAGGGAGGACACTATCACCATATAAACCACAACAACATGTTTAGTACCCCATGTACACACCAAGAGCATAGCTGTGTAATAATCAAGCAATTGTTCATCAAATTAATAATATATTTGCATATGAAACATTTTTTCACAAATAGCTTCCTTCACCCTTGAGTGACCATTGTCACCCAGACTGAAAACTAGGAGAAATATATCATTTTGAGTTGTCGCTGGAAAAGAAATAGAGGGTGAATCCTCTGATGTAGAAAACTTTCTTAAAGTGGACCTTTACCCCCTTTGACTAAAAATCAAATTAGAATGCAGCTCTGCATGCTGATATGAAATCATCTTACATTCATTAGCTAAACAAACATGTTTATTTTACTTACAATTTCTTTTTTTAATCTTTCTGGTCCACTTTGGCACAAATTATGTAATTGTGCCTAAGCATTGCATCCTGGGAAGGTTACATTAGCAGTACATTGCTGGGAAATCTCATCTGTAACCTCGTGAGAGCTCAGGGAAAGGCATTTTCCTCCCCTGAGAGGATGTGCATGGTCACATGTCCTAGTCACATGTGCCAGAGTTCCAGGAAGTTTAGGGAGATCTAGTAACCTGCCCTTAGTTACAATGGCCACTGTGGGAAGAATGGGAAAGAAAAGAAAAATAGGGTATGCAAAAAATAAAAACCCTGCACTTATCTAGAAGTATCCGTTTGATTGTAATTACTAAAAATTTCTAAAGGTGCCTTTGTTGTTATTTTGAAGATAAGTTCTTCTTTTAGGGTAATTTCCATTACTTTGGAGAGATCTCTTTCCCCACTCTTTTACTTCCTGTTGTATCTTAAGACAGGAAGTGAAGGGGAATCTCCTCCATACAGACAGCAAAAAAAAACAAAAAAAACTTGGCTGGGGTTTTAACCATTCTTAATGCATATCTAAACCCAAGAAAAGTTTTGGTTTTACATATGCATTAAGAAGCTGCACATGTAATGCATATTGATATGCAAAAGGTCTTGGCAGCGGCTGAGGAAGCATCAAGCAATCTGCATTGACAGCTCTTGCAGATAGCATGATGCTTCTCCAGCTGCTATCAGGGCCTTGATGACATCAGGGCCATGCAAGTAGAGCAGTGGGGCACAGAATTTACTGCACACAAGACAGTCTGAGTTTTTATATTAGTAATTGAACTTGCAATGTTTATCTTGCTAGGCTTGGGATGAAGAAAGGGCCTCTTTTAAGGAAATCTGTATCAAGGGAAATGTGTAGACTGCCATTGGTAAAGTTTTGAAAATACTATTTACCTGGTTGTCATGCTGACTCTGGCTTCAATGTCTTCTGAATCACTGACCTGAAACCAGTTTGCAGATCTGACCTCGCCCTATCTTCATTTATAGGTTGTAAGTGAAAGCAGAGATAACCATGCAACTAGTATGTCCAGGAGGTTAACAAGGGCAGCCTACATATTTTTCTGCACAGGTGTCCTTTAAAATATATATATTCATTACATTTAAAGTTAAATTAAAGGGTCAGTGCACACAGAATATATATATATATATATATATTTGTTATGTTTTGTGTTAGATGTTATAGATATAAAGCACCTAATGGGTTTGTATAATTCCCATGGCCCCTAGAGGTATGATACCATATCTGCTGACCTGACTTCACTCATGATTGATAGAATAAGTTGATGTGATTCTTTAAGGCTGTTCTTGACCTCTGTTGTTATATAGGACAATGCTGCTCCTACATTCGGTGTGTGTTTTGTTTCTGTTGGCACCTCTACTCTCTTCAGCTGAAGATGACCCAACACAACCCCAGCGGAATCCCTGTGCCAACTGGATGGGTGGAGCACCTGGCTATCCGGGACACAATGGACAGCCAGGAAGGGATGGTAAAGATGGAAAGAATGGAGACAAAGGAGACAAAGGCGAGCTAGGTTAGTGCTGGGATTTAGGGGAGAAATAAAGTAGGAAAACTGTTTGCAAGAAAAATTCTTGCAAAAAATCTGCATCAAGTTGTGTGTGTGTGTGTGCGTGTGCGTGCGTGCGTGTGTGCACGCGCATGTGTGCACAGATATATGTAATTAATAAAATCAGCTTAAAGTTCACCTTTTGCAATATTTAAAGAAATGCATACTTGAACATATAAAAAATGCATTTATTTTATTTTTGCATTCAAGCTTGGATAGCATTACAGCGGTGATCACTTGATCAGGGCTGCAGAGCTCAGGCTTCAGTACATTATCATAAAGGCAGAGCTCTGTACTGAGGTACGGAGTTTCAAATGGGATGGATGGCTGGTCGCAGGGCCGGATTTACTCTCCCTGCCGCCCCAAGGCCAGGTCGTGTTGTGATCCCCCCTCCTTTCCCATCAATGGAAAATGGCAACCAGATGGCAGGGCGGCGGGGTTAGTGTACTTATTTCAGGTTCTCTTTATTGACCCTGTCACCTCCAATACAGGATTCCAAGCACAGCACTGTGCTGGAACTCCTGTGACAGGGGAGAGGAAGAGCAATGCTCTCCCCTCCCACTGTCTACAGTCTACACGGAGCGGCAGGGGTACTTATAACCCTGCCGCTCTGCTCACTGCAGTCAGAGACTCTGGACTCGGTGGCGGAGGACGGAACCAAAGGAGAGAGGTAAGTGCAGGGGGGAGGGGGAGAAGGCTGCACACTCTACATTTAGTCCTGCTTGTGCAAAGCAGGACTAAATGTAGAGAGGGCAACTTCCCCACAAGGACACCGCTGCCGCCCCTCTGCGCCCTGCCGCCGGGCCTCGGTGGCCTTGTGGGGAATCCGTGCCTGGCTGGACGGGAATAGATTAGAGTTAGGACCGCACTACACAGAGGTGCATTGACAAGGCTGTGCGGCTTTCACATATTCTGCAGAAGACGTGTATCTAAAACCTCTGTTTTTATGTTTTTAACCTTAGTGGTTAGACAGGTTTTTTTTTGCATGCTGGCTGGTGAGTGTGTTGGGAAACTTTTTGCTGTTGAGTTGTAAAGTAGCCACCACTCCAGACTCACTCCTGTGACTATAACTTCAATATACATTAGTAAAATAAACATGAGATTGTAGTCCATCACAGGAGTGAGCTCAGAGCGGTGGCTACTGTATAACATACACAGGAATCATGGGGAACAAAAGTAGCCACCCTCCAGAAGGAAGGACAGTGTCAGCACAAATTTAGAGATGATCTACAGAGGATCTACAGTCCAGTGATACACAAATAAGATACATTTTTGTTAATAGTTGAGGCACTTGAATGCATTTTCAAGATTTAACCCCTTGGGCTTAATGTCACTTTAAAGAAGATCCTTGTTTATATCAGTTATCAGACTACTCAATGCAGGTTTTATTCCGACAAAGGAAGCTGCAAATCAACCTATGTTAATAGTGCTTTCTCTTTAGCTAACCAATAGAGATTTTGGAGTTTTTTGTCATGCATTAAATGTTTATTTGTACAATAACAATTTGCATAAATAAAATTTAAAAAAATACCAAATTAAAAGCATATGACATAAAAAAAAAAAAAAACAACTGAAATGAAATTGATCAAGTACCAACCTAGCCTCCCCTTAAAACAACAGAAGTAAGGCATTCTGTCTGGTATTTACTCACAATGGTAATATGACTATCAATATTTTCAGGTGTTGCTGGGCAAAAAGGAGAAGCTGGTGAGCAAGGACCCCCAGGACCAGAGGGCCCACGGGGATTTCCAGGAGCCCGGGGAGAGACAGGAGAGAGCCCATTCATACATCGCTCAGCCTTTAGTATGGGGCTGACTGTCAGAACAACCACTCCAAATGTTCCTATCCGTTTCACCAAAGTCTTTTACAATGATGAGCGCCATTATGATGACAGCACAGGCAAGTTCCGCAGCAATATTAAGGGACTTTACTTGTTCACCTATCATCTGACTGTTTATATGAAAGATGTCAAGGTCGGACTTTACAAGAATAACAAGCCCATCATGTTCACCTTTGACCAGTTCCTGTCTAACAACGTAGACCAGGCTTCTGGCTCCATCTTATTGCACCTGGATGTTGGAGATGAGGTTTGGCTGCAGATCTATGGGGACGATTTTGGAGGCATCTATGGAGACAATCTTAATGACTCTTCTTTCTCAGGAATCCTACTGTATCCAGACCAGACCTCCAAATGATTATCTCCTACTGTAATAGGACCATGGCTCTTGTTTATGTAGTCCCTAATAAGAATTGATTGTAAAGTCCTATATATCCCGGAACTATCAGAAGAATAGCCAGATCAAATTGCTCTAAATGTGTGGAAAATATAAGAAAATACTTTGCATTCAAAACAGTTTACGACAAAGATTTTATGTAAAAACGTCCCCTATTTGTTTAACTATGATTTTTAAAGAGACACTAAACTCAGGAGTTGAATCCTAAAAATACATTCAAGTACCTGAACTGTTAACAAAAATGTGGCTCACTCAGCTGTAGATCTTCAAATCATCTCTGAATTGGTGCTGACACTGTCCTTCCTTCTGGAGGGGGGCTTTTTTTTGTCCCCCATGGTCCCTGTATGTGTGATGTAAAGTAGCCAACGCTACAAGCTCACTCCTGTGATAGACTACAGTCTAACATTTAGTTTATTCATTGGTATTGAGATTGTAGTCCATCAAGGGAGTGAGCTTGGAGCGGTGGCTACTGGCTACTATAAAACACACACACACCGACCATGGGGAACAAAAGTAGCCACCCTCCAGAAGGAAGGAAATAGTGATACACAAATAGGATACATTTTTGCTAATAGTTAAGGTACTTGAATGTAGTTTTAATATTTAACCCCTGAGTTTAGAGTCATTTTAAAGAAAAGTTTATTCAATTTTTTTTTAATAATCTGTTGACTAATCCAGCTCTGACAGCTCTTCCATCCACTCCAGTAAGCCAGTGGTGTACTGTCTTTCTTCCATAAACCCTAGTGAAGAAACCCTCTACTTTAGCAGTTAGATGCAGGCTTGTAAGTAGAAAGCGTCTCCATTGGGGTGTATGGAGAAAAGACTGTATATGTAAAAGATGTCGTTGCCAGCCATCTCAATGGAGAATATGGAAGAGCTACTGGAGCTAACATAGGTCACAACTCTTGGATTAGCTCACTCGGTGATCTGAGGTCTGTAATGAACACTTAAATTGGACGGGAAGGGTGAGATTGAGCAGCATAATTATTAAAATGATTCCTATCCGTCAATACTAATCTTGTGTTTTTATTTTTTTTGCAACTGAGAGTACCTGTGGTCTGTGGAGGAAAAATTAAAATCTCAAATTATCCTACGTAAGAAGAACATATTAAAGCTGAATTACAAGGTCTAATCCTCCAACTAATAATCAAAAAATCCTCCAACTGACACTCATGTGACCAGCAACTTCCTCAAGGTCCTCCATCCATTGGTGACTTGAATAGAGTGGCACACACCTCACAGCCACGTATGACTCACCAGCATTGGCTGACTGGCTGATGTCTACACTTTCTGAAGTCCAGAGGAATAGAGGGAGTGGAGCCAGGACTTCCTGTGCATTTACATTGGGTTTGAGTAAGGTTGGATGTCATTAAACCCTAAAGTGGACTGAAATGCGTTTCTGCAGGGGATCTTTCCAATGAGAAGGTGAGTACTACAGCAAAAGCTGTATTTTTTATTTTTACTGTTGTTGGGTCAACTGATTTTTTATTAATATTCAAAGCTGGAGTTAGGCTTTAAAGCCACCCAATCATTAACATGGCCAACTAAACCAAAGGTAGTCTGTAAAAGAAGTATATGCACACTTACCTTTTTAGTGGCCCATGTCTTAGATATCTGCTGTGTTGCAGATCTGCAGGTATCGGACACTTCTAGGTGTATGGAAAACCTTCTCCCTTGTTGCATGCTGTGCTTTATCCCAAAAGCCCTGATGTCCTGTAGTGGTGTAGGAGTCAGCGGGAAGAACCACAGTACACGGTGAGGGAGCGGGTTTTCCCCACACCAAGAAGTGTTGGATACCTGCAGAAGTCTGCCACAAAGTGGGCTTACAGAAGTATAGGTCTGCTATCGGTATTCTGCTCCCTACCTCAGTGGTAGTGAGCTGAATATAAATAAATGGAAAAAAAACAGTTTAAAAATTATTTAAATAAATGTTAAAAAAAATAGAAAAATTTAAAAAATAATATATTTTTTAAAAAGAAACAGCACGGGGTCCCTTTGCCAAACCATACCAGACCCTTAGGTCTGGTAAGAATTTAAGGAGGAACCCCACCCCCAAAATGAGGAAAAAATGCCTAAAATTCCAAAACAGACCCTTGATCCGAGCACAGGCCTGGCAGGGCAGGAAAGGGGGGGTGGGATGAGCAAGCGCCCCCTCCCTGCGATACCAGGCCACATGCCCTTGGCACTGGGAGGGTGCTATTCCAGGGTTACCCCAGTAAAAGCACCTTGACCCCATGCTAAATGGGACAAGCGTCTCTTCTCCACAAGCCCTGGGGGCGTTGGTTGTGGGTGTGCGGGCAGGGGTGCTTAATCACATCAAGGTACCCCTTTAATAAAGGGGCACCCACATGCATCCCCCCTTGTCAATGAGTAAGGGGTACCTGTACCCCTACCCATTCACTAAAGGGTTAAAGTAAATGTTTAAAAAAAACGCCAGAAAAAAAAAAAACCCCAAAAGACAAGTTTTTGACAAGTCTTTTATTCAGAAAAAAAAATTGATCCATTGACGTAATCCAGCATCAATCACGACGTCCTGCGTTGTCCACGACGACGATGACTCGTCGGGGAATAAAAAAAATAAAATAATAAATAAATTAAAAATAATTTTAAAAAACGATGCACGCCGACCCGACCACACGCAAGGAACTCCCGCCGCATAATAAAAACAATTGGGCGGAGCCAGCGGTATTGGCCAGCACCTGCTAGAGTCACTGGGCGGAGCTGGCCACGCCAGATGTTATTGTTTAATGACAGATCATCGTCCTCAGGTCATTTGGGGACGATGATCTGTCATTACAACTGGGCAGAGCGAGCCATGTGCTCGGCTGAGCCGCTCGGCTGCATTCGGCTGCTGTACGGGCTATTGTGAATAGCTCGTACAGCAGCCCTTCAGTTCCTTTGATCCGAAGGGCAGAGGCGGCCGAAGTGAGCCGAAGGATCAGCCGAAGCTACGTATTAGTGAATAACCCTCTAAATGAAAAAGCTGCCACATTGCAATGTTATAATAAATGCTAAGCTATTGGACATAGTTTGTTCATTTGTCAGTGGCTCAGGCTTTATCCTGTCTATGACAAAATACAGCTAATAACACATAAGTTGTATACATGTCCAAGAACACTATCACAAGACCACTTGTGATAACTGTATTGTAACTGTAATGTCTTCTTTTATATTATAAAGCACTGCGCAAACTGCTGACGCTATATAAATCCTGTATAATAATAATAATGGGATGTTTGCTTTGTTAAAATAAGATGAAACAGGGCTCATAATATATAACATAACCAGAATTTCAAATCAGTAGACAAGTCTCAGCTGGGACAATTGCTCTTGGACATTGCTTTGCAAGCCAAAGTTGGATACCCCAGCATAGCTGTAGTACCTGTTCCTGTCCACAAGATGGTAGTTTTTGCACTAGTAATATTTCTACCAGCAGCATACTCAATCACACACAAATGTAAGATCATTGGGTAATGTTTATCTAAAAGGTGATGTAATTAGTGTATGATGTTTACTTTGGTATAATACTATTATTGAAGGGGACAGAGTGTTGTCACCTCACAACAGGAAGTACATGAAAAGATAAAAATGAACTAATGCCTCAAGAATAAAAATGTAAAAAGAATAATAATAATGTGCTAAAAAATCTAAGCAATAGTAATCACGTGCTAAAACATCAGCTCATAATTCCCTCAAGTGAAAAAATGATTAACGTGATGAAATTAATAAGATAAAATTAATGAATTAACACATAAAACAACACTAAGTGAATACTATTATGATCATATAAATAATATTTAAAAACCGTGTATCCAAATATAAATCATATAATAATAGAGAAAAAATATTATATAATTATTTAATCAAAATTGATAACAACGTCCACTATAGTGCTCATATAAAAGTGGAAAATAAATAGTTCATGAATAAGTAAAAACATTTTTTTTTGAATATTATTATGATCATATAAATAATATTTAAAAACCGTGTATCCAAATATAAATCATATAATAATAGAGAAAAAATATTATATAATTATTTAATCAAAATTGATAACAACGTCCACTATAGTGCTCATATAAAAGTGGAAAATAAATAGTTCATGAATAAGTAAAAACATTTTTTTTTAGCAAAAAATGTCCACCATATATTATTGAAACACACTGGAACACACACACACACCTCATCATCATCATCATCTCCTCCCACAAGTAATAGGGTCGCACACCCATCATCCACCAGTATGTCAAAAAATTGTTATTGGCAGAGAGGACACACCACCTGCTTCCTCTGAAGTGTTTCACCCAAATAGTGAGGTTTGTTTATAAAGATACCACTAGGGGGTGAAAGGCTTTAAAGCAGTCCCATGAGGCATTGCAAGACTGACAGTTAAAGGCATGTTACAGTCCATAAACCAATCGCACTCGAAACCACTGTTCCAAAAGAAGTAAAGTGGGTACTACGGCTGTCAACGGATGGCAACAGTCACAATCACTAGAACTATAGACAGCGGCACTCCAATAGCAAATCAAATACATCTATTTATTGACGCATGAGCAGCATAGCATAATACACTCAGTGCTACATTTCGGGGCCTCACAGGATCCCCTTCATCTATCTTCTACAACATTCAGTAATTTGGCACTGGGCCGTCCGGGAGCTTCCTCGATGTAACAGGCCGTGTATATACGGCCCGTTAGCCTCGCCCACACGCGCGCGCCAGCGGGAAACAACCGAAATTTAAAAACAGGCAGTGATGCCTTTTACATACAAGCGATCACTTGTATGGGGTGCTGATCGGAGCGCCCCTCCGTGGCCACCGTCCCGCTGGTCCCGGGCTCCGCTGTGCCCGGTGTGAGCCCAGGACCAGCACGGTAGCTCTCTGACAGAGGATCAGAGGTAGATCGGTACACGATCTCCCTCCGGTGTCAGAATGCGGAAGTGATGTATATTACATCACT